GAGAGAGAGAGAGAGAGAGAGAGAGAGAGAGAGAGAGGAAGGTTTGAATTGTCAACGATGTGGGAGAGAAAACATTTTCGTTATCACAATGCCGTTCCTATAGATAAGGTTCTACCTTCGCTTGTAATTTAATTTTTATTTTGACAACAAATTAATTTTGTAAAAATATAATTTGTTTACCAAATAATGTTATGAAATAATGTTATGAAATAATTTACCTAAACCCGAAGCCCAAATGATGTTATGAAATATGTACGACAGTGTCGGCGGCACCTCTTAGTAGGATGATAGAAGCTCAAAAGTTCCAAAGGACATATAAAGGTGGGTAGCGGCATAGCTAGAAATATTTTTTATAGTTAGACCTGAATTAGTGCGGTACCCGTGCGATACACGGGCTAATTTTAAAGTAGGAATTTATATTTAGATATGATTGAAAAAACGTAAAAACCATATATTTGAATAAAATAAAATGTAATTTATATATTATTAAACATAAAACAATGTACCTCTGTGAAAACTGTATCTAAGAAAATAAACACTTGACACTTATATATATTAGGATTCTAAATAGGCTTAAAAAAATTAATTAAATTATTTAGCAGGATATATATATAATATAATTTATACTATTCTTGTGATTATTCCATAGTCATATATAACGAAGATTGTAAAACGTCTTTCTTAATAATATATAGTCTTATTATTTTATAATTGTAAATTACTTAATTTATTGAAGGAGAAAATTGTGTACATGTATGCAATCAATTTCAAATTTGTATTATATAAGATTAAACAAAACCAAAATTTTTAGGATATTTTAATCCGATTTTATTTTTAATTACAAATTAATATTATCTAACTCATTTGTTGTTTAAAAAAATCTGAACTAAAGAAAATAGTAGCCAAATAATATGAGATTTTAAATTTTAATTATAAATTTGAAATTGGACCGATTTCTATGGACTTTTAAATATATAATAAAAGTTATAATTCCATTGACCATCGGTCGGCTGCCCTTTGATCGCTGGCCAGAGGCGAACTGAGAGTTGGAGACCAAGGAACTCAACTCTAGTCACTGCCCGCCTCATTTCCACCCGTTGTTGCCACCTCAACGAGCCGGCCACCAGAATCTCCGGTCCCGAATCCGTCGCCGTCGCCGGTGACCCCCTCCAGAGCTTTGGCGATGCAGAATGGTGGTCAGATGGAGAAATTCGCCCGCCTAGAAGTGCAGAAGCTGAATCTGATTCAACAATTGGATTTGGGGCTAAATCTCGATTTCTGATTCAACAATCCTATTAAGCAATCACCCGCCTGGAATTGTGGTCCACTAAGATACTTTCAATTCGCCGTTGAACTCTTGGGATTTCGTCGGCGTCCTGCAATCGTTGGTGATAACCTGGTAGTCAGGTAGCTCGTAATTCTTCTTGACTGTGGGCCTCGC